CTACAGATCAAACATATCTGGGATTCTCAAGAGAGATAGTACTATCGGGGCCCACAATGCGACATGGGGCAGCGAGTCGACCTACAGATCAAACAGATCGAGAAGAAATTCCGGCAAGAGCATCATTATTCGAGACATGGTCAACCGCGCCTCCAATTGCGAACCCGATGATTACGAACGAGAGGGAAGCAACAGAGGAGGAGTCCCGATCTTTGCCGGAACCTCCGTCGTGTCGGTCGGCCAGGACTTTGAAGACTTTGTTCGCAATGAACGATGCAAAGAATGGCTCTGGCAATTTCGATGTTGCGATCCACGGTATCGCATACTCAAGTTCTTCAACGATGTGGCGAACGAGGGTGCCACCGGGAATTCCGCCTTTGAACGGACACACGTCAGCCCGTTGCTCAAGTATTTCAGCCGGTCGTCCGTCTTTACCGTTTGGAGGCCCACCAGTAAGGACGCTATTCGAAGGATGATGCTGGGTCAGGGAGTAGGAAAGGGTCTCGACATCAAAGGGAAGTCAGCAAAACGTGGGGTATTGTCGGCCTTTGTGCCCTTTTTGCAAATCCACAAGGAAGAAGACAAGGCAAAAGTCCGGACGCTCAGGAAGGATGGTACGATACGGGTGTTTTTCGATAACGAACAGAATCGTGATACGGCAGTGAAGACTCTCAACGAGGTGGCAAAAGAAATGGAGGAGACCGTACGACAGGCCAGGGACATTATCAACAATGCCGACGACTACGACGACGATGTCTACGAGAATGCGCTGGAAAAGCTTACTCTTGAGATGAGCGACTCGACAATTCACACAATTGACGACTACGCAGCCTCCAACAAGTATGGGATGACGGTCAACGAACGGCTCTTTTGGGAAGGGATGGTCGTTCGTCAAAATATTGAGAGAAAGCCGGGAAGTGAAAACGATACGGGGCGAACATCGATGCCGAGCTTTCAGGACATGAATTTTGATGCGGTCCGAAAGCCCAAGAATTGCGTGGCAGGGGGACACACGAGAGCGGTCATTCTGCAACTCTCCAACCCACCACGAAATCGGGGCACTGAGCCCGAAAGCAATACGTATGATCCCATGAGCCCATTGAATCTTGTCGTGGCATACGAAGAAAAGGACCCGGAAATGGATCGCAAAAGGATTATACCTGTCGTCAGTGATTTTGATTGCTTTATCGTCGGCAGCCGAAACGTAAATTACGAAGAACAGGTACCCGATGACCAAGTCGATGTTCTAAAATGGATGGTCGAGCAGACCGAACATGTGTTRGAAACACCGAACGAAGAATCGTGGACGAAGCGATGGCTAAACGTTCTCAAGGATGCCAGACTAAAGGGCTGTCACCACGAGATTCCCACGGGTGGCTACAGCGATCCCAAAACAAAATTTATTTTCAAGTTTGCCATTGAACGCTTGAGCGTTACCGGGGCTGTTCGACACGGAGCAGAGTGCTTCAATTATTATTTTCCACAAGACCTCGATGACAAGCTACTTGTTATATCCGACGACCTCCCGAACAAATACAAAGGATGCAGATGGGTATACGTCGATCAATTCGAGCTACAASAAATCCTTAAGTACAAAATCAGTCACGGCTTCTCGTTTCCGTTGAATCCGAAGTGGATCCTGTGTGATCCGGGCTGGAAAGAAGTCTACGACAAATTRATTTCGAGCGACAGGCCCGACGTCCAGAAATCCATGAGGTGCTGGTACCCACCAGAGTCTGGAATTCGGGAATCCATCGAACGGATTTACAAGAAACACCCGAACGGATTCGAGCGACAGTTCGACGAGAGTTTGGGGCCGGGTGTGGCAAGAAGTCGCAKCTCGACTCGGTTGTCGTATKTGGATGGCACCACTGCCATGGACCTTGCCGAGCAAGAACTGAAGTATTTCATGATCTTGCAACGCGCAAAACGACGCCTCAAGGTAATCCTGCTACTGAACCGAATGCTTTCGAAAATCAGAGAATGCAGAGAAATGGAAAACCATGTGCCAATATCGCAGRAAGAGGAACAAAACGAAARAAACAAAAGTCTCCCGGATCCCTGTACGGTAGCTGTAGCTGTAGATTTACAAGCTGCTTAAAGTTCAATAATTCATTTGCTTTGATGTGCTCGTTCACTCTGKTATGCACGAAATTCATTACTTTAGACACGTGTACTCTCCGAGCCATCTCCAAKAGCCCCACAAACGACGATATCATGGCTTAACGTGCCTGAACCACCATTTGTTTCTCGTGATTAAGGGGGCGCACACCCCCACTACTTCGGCACGATTTTACTTCATTCAGACGCAAACATCGAAAATAGACCGGTCACGGCGGAGATCTAAACCCGCCAAATCAGACAGGCTTCTTGCGGGGGACATCTTTCATATGTTCGATCTTCCCTGTAACGATGATAGCRCACCTAATTTGCCACTGTGCGTGAAGGCATGAAGGGAAACCATCKGTCGATTCAAACCAAAMACTCGAMGCGAAATGCAGAGGAGTTATGTCTCCGATAGCTTTAAGCGTGAAGGCCGAAATRTCCAATGTCCAGAGCACTSTCTCTATGCTGATAGTTGCTACCATTTTCTTACTGTTTTCATTTTTTAAATTTCTAGGGAATGGAATACCTATTGGTGGAAGGTGGAAGTAATTTTAACTAGTCGGATGCACTTTGATACCGGGACTAGTACGAGTTCCAAAAAATTGTCCCTGAATTCCTTCAAGACTGTATCAATTCGTATCTGATTATCTATTTATGATTTTATGTAAGGCCAGTGAAAATCTTAAGTGTATGCTAGTATTACTCACGTCATTCGAGTGCCAACAGCCAAATGAAGAGGGTAAGTGCAGTACAAGTAAATGATTTTTAATTTTTACTTAAACTCGACAACTCCAATTGTTGTGAGCCATTCTACCTCCTCATCCTCGCGCTCCATTTTTGAAAAAATGAGTCTTGCCTTATATAAGAATCATACGTTACTGAATAAAGTAAATAATGAAACTCTGATTGAAAAACGGATTTCGAGCAATATTATCTCGCATCACAATTTCAAGAAAAGAAACGGCAGGCTGGAAGAGACTTTAGACTGTTCATGGTAATACAAGTTTCGAAAGTCTGAGCGCAACTAGTTGTACGTAGGCATATTGGACGCATAGCAATCCGATTTGAAAAGAATCAACCTCGGGCCTAGGTTAATTAAACTCATCTTGAGAGATATTTGTGGATAGGACGATAGATAGGACGTCAGGACTTTAAGAAGCGTGCAGTGCGAACCGGGATTTGTTGGAGCAGCTTTAGTACCATGGTGTCCGGCAAGAAGAATGTCAGCCACAAGATAAATAAGTCGAAAATTGTCAGCAGGATACTAATTGTCGTGGTAGTAACCTGCATCTTGCGACAGTTGACAGCATTAACGGCTGTTTCGAGAGATTTATTGCAGGTGTCCACATACGACGACGCGGCTTCAAAACTAGTGGAAATCAACTCGGTTCCAAAATCAATACGAAAGACAAACTTATCAAAGGGTCTAGAAATTGAACACAAAGCCAAAGAAGAAAGCGAGATAAAGAGTATAACCACCAAAGCAACCAAAAAAATCTTGAGTAATGAGATGAATGATGGCGGAGACAGAGAATATGAGGACAATATCGAAAGAGCTTTTGTCATCATTTGTATGGGAGACAGTGCAATCGATTCAAACTACGTCGAACGATTTGTTTGGTCCGCTCGGAAAATTGGCAAGTTCACGGGATGGATCGTCTTGTTAACCGATGCACCGGAGCAGCGGTACGCTCATCTATCTAGAAATTGGGCAGATGTCGACAACGACAAATTCACTATCTTGCGTCCCGAAGAAAAGCATTACATTCGACATTACGACCATGCCCCTGCGATGGTTTTCAAACAGTTCAAAACCTATGTCTTGCAATACCTGTCACAAGATTCGAGACTGGACAACGTGAAATTGGTATATTATCTCGACGTTGACATCGTATTTGGGAATCCTGTCGGTCCACTGTTCAATGATTTGGAACAAAAATACCAAATTGGTACAAATTCGACGACTACAGCACAAACCAACACGGGTGGTAATGTTGCTGCAAAAATGTGGATGTTTAAGGGAAATAGCAAAAAATCAAAAATTCAGGGAGGGCAAATGATTCTAGACCGGTCAACGTCACAGCCTTGTTTAGATCGATTTCGATCATTAATGGACCCCAAAACGTCCACAATCGATCAGGTCCATTTGATGCAAATGCTTAGCGATCAGAAGTTGGCTCGGAAAACAGAGGATTACACTTCTTTAAAATGTGAAATAGTCATCATGCCCCAAGAAGAAAAGCATATACTCTTTCCTTCCAAAACGTTGATCAAAGACATAGCTGATGGAAAAATCAATGATGATGACCCTATTCCCGTATTGAATCATATTAAAAACACCGGAGGTGACCTTAAAAAGTCTTCGCCAGAAGATATTGAAGCATATCTTAGATATCTATTCAGATTTGAAACTGACCAAAAAGACACACTGGGGATCACAACAAAAACATACCTCGATGGCGGACAACGTGAGAAAGGAAAGAAGGAACAACATCAGGAAAAATCGGAAGTCAAATCAGCCGAGGAGAAGAAAAGTGATGTTCCTCGTTCGAATCATGACGAAGAAACGACTCAGGAGAGTGAAGACTCCAGTAATGTTCTATTCAGATCTAGTCAAAATGATGACAACTGGAAAAATGTGTCACCAAATGAATTGGTCACAACGTTAGCGGATCTTTCAAATAGTACTGAGATCGTTTCGTCAAGAGCGAAAAGGCGTCGCAGAAGAGGCTACAGAGATAAAAAGGGCAAAAAAGAAAAAGAGACATACGAAGATGACATTGAAAGAGCCATGTTTGTAATTAGTATGGGGGAAAAAGCTGCGAAGATGAACACTGTTGAGCGCTTCGTCTATTCTGCTCGGGAGATTGGAAAGTTTTCTGGGTGGATTGTTGTTTTGACCGATGCTCCCAGCGATCGCTACGCCAATATGAACAATTGGACAGAGAAGGTTATTTTTATGGATCCAAAAAAAGAAGACACGAAAACCCATTATAAGGTTTCTAACATGGTTTATAAACGGTTCAAAACATACGCTATCGAATACATGAACAGAGATATGCGATTAGAACAAGTTGAGCTTGTATATTATTTAGACGTTGATATCGTCTTCGGGAGTGATCTTGGACCGGCTTTCCATGGCATAGAAAAGACTTATGGTATCGGACGTCTCGGGGTCAACACGACCGCTAATGTTACAGATTCTATTGCGCGTGGGAAAATGTGGATGTTCAAGGGGAATTCCGGAAAATGGCAAATCCAAGGAGGGCAGATGGTTCTTGATCGGTCTTTGTCCCAACCTTGCTTAGAAAGATGGAGAGAGGGATTCGATCAGAAGAAAGTTACTGATTATGCGAAGGACCAGTATCTCTTGATGGCAATGAAGAGTGAACAAGAACAAGCGATGAATAGAACAATGAATAGTACAGACCCAGACTTGGATGTGGACTTGGCATGCGAAATTGTAACCATGGAGCAAGCGCCGTACATCGACTTTCCTTTGGTTACGACAATAAAACAGCGAAGCAAGGTGTTACGGAAACATCCAAAGCGAAAGTTTCATTATAGTCCAATGGTTCACGTTCGAAACGATGGCGGTACGGCCAATATGAGAGACGGAAACATAAGACCATACATGAGAAGTTTATTGAGGTTCAAAAAGGATCAACCAGATCCCTTGAAAATATTGAAGAAGGTACACATGGACACTACCTAAAGCTATTATTGAAAAAATTGTACATTGTATAAAAAAAGTCAACGACTGTTTTAATTGAGCATTTATTTTACAGAGTTTTCCCCCTCGGATTGATGCGATGAAACGGAACGAACAATCGTCCAAGAATTGTGTCGGTGGAGGATTCAATGCAGCATTTTGATGAACTATATGCCTCTTCGTTTCGCCTCACATTTCTCGATTCATGTGTGATACTCTTCATGCTAAGACCCTCAATATTGTGAATGCGCGAGCATCAAATGGAATTTCATGTATCTTAAGGGGTGATGTATATGGCGGTGAASAAAATGGCTTACACTGCTGGCAAAAAAACGATTCTGGATCAGGGACCAACCCCATATSCACCCATTTTATTTATTCCTCTTTGGTCCCATCGCCAACGGCCTTTCCGTGTCCACCTGTCATAGCTTTTGTAACCTCTTTCGGAGGGGACGACCGGCTGGTTGCAGCCGAAAACAAAAAGACCGCGAGAATCATCCCCCAAACGACCTGTGTGGATTTGGCCATAAGCCACAGGGACATTTTGAGGCCATATGCTTTGTCTTCGTCAACGACCTCTGACCCTCGCGACATACTCCACGAGCCGAGGCTTGCAAGAAACGAAATCCCGCTCAGGAGCATCCACTTGATGTTTTTCCCCGAGAACAAAGTCCCTTCCTTCATACATAGCACTGAAGATAGTGGCCCAGATCGTCCTGCCACTCAAGAGAGTGAAGACGACGAACCACAACACCCAGCGAGCCATAAATCTGCGACCGCGGTTCCATCCGGGTGGTGTCTCATCCGTCGTCGTTTGTGGAACACCAACAGCGTTCTTGTTAACGTTCACTGCAATCTGTACACCTTCCATGGTTTTCAGGTTTTCTGTGGTTGTGTTGGGATTCTTTGTTTGTTGATTCGTTAGCTCGGACTTCGGTTCAGAATTTGTGATTATTTCGTATTATGAGACTATGAGATTCTTGAATCCTCCTTCAAGAACCAGAAAATGCCATGGGCAAGACACCTACGGTACGAGTACGAGTACCTTACGTACCGTGCAGTCCATGCGAGATCTACTGTAGTTCGTGATCGTGAGGGCAAGAATTTACCGAGTTCGTACTATTCTACGAAGTACTTACGTACCGTACTATTCCTACCTGTATCTGRAGCAGAAGAACCTCAATCTTGATCTACCGCACGAGTCAATCGTGTTTTTTGAGTCGTGGAGAATGTCTCTATTGGTCTGCCTCCGTACGGCACGATGATAGGTGCAAGATCATCTCGGCCACCGAAAAAAATCCTTGCGAATTTCCCAAGCACTCCCAATAGAAATTTTCGTCTGTCTGTCGAAATACGTATGAGTACGAGTAAGCAGTTTCGATTCGATATGCTCGATGCTGATTTGCTGATGCAATGATGTTTGCCACAAGGTAAACATGTGGCAAACATCATCATCGAAGATGGAACAAAGATTGATTCACAAAATTGATATGTCGACTTCTATGCTGTGACCTGGCCCACGGTACGAATTCGCAATTTGCTTTTTGATAGATAGAGTAACTTAATTGAACACTTCTCCGATTCCTCTGTCGTAGTAAAAAGGACGCCCGAAAAAGAAAAAAAATCAGAAACTCTATTGAAAGATCCGGAGTCGGTACCAACAGACCAGAATGATGCTGAAATGTTGCCACTATGGCAGCTGCCTTGCGTTGGTTGCAAGCACCTACGCTTTTGCTCCACTTTCGCGGCAACYGCACCGCATAGAACATCGAACCCTGGACACAATGAAAAGCAACATCCCTATCTTCTCTAGTGCGGACGAGGACATCTTGAGCGGCAGTAGCGGTGGCCGAATCAACTCGGCCTTTTCCCGCAACGAATTTAGTCGCGTGATCTATATCGATCGGATCTTTCAGCAGCGGGGGAGAAACAACCAGCAGCGAGACCACGAGGTGAAGATAAGAGCGAGCGACGAAGAATGCCAGGCCCTGGCGGATCGATTCGAGCTGAAGAAAATCGAAACGCTGGAAGCGAGGCTATCGATCCGTCCGGCTACGGAAGCCCTCGCGGCGGGGACCTCCGGTGGGGGCCTCCCGGTCGAAGCAGAGGGGACTATTGAGGCCCATCTTACCCAGACCTGCGTCCGGACAAACGAGGAATTCGAGGTCGACGTGGAATTTCCCGTCTACCTAATTGTCAAGCCCGTGACAAGCAACAACAAGGACGACATAGAGCTGATGATTGCGCAGCAGCAAGAAGAGGAGGAAGCCGAAGGCGGCAAAAAGAAGAAGAAAAAGAAAAAATTCAAGCCCAAGAAAGACGATGTCTTTCACCAAAACAAAAAGACCTACAACCTATCGGACATCTTCGACCTGCAATCCGCAATCCAAGAGGCAGACTTTGGAGGCGCGGGCAACGGCCTCGCGGATACAGTCGAAGACGAAGCCATATATTCTCTATCGAGCGACCAGTTGGATGTTGGTGAGTTGATCGCCCAGACGTTTTGTTTGGAGCTGGATCCGTACCCCAAAAAGCCGGGAACAGACCCCGTGTCATGGGAAATAACTGGGTAGATTCATCGTTCGATGCTTTTGGGCGTTGCTTTGGCGGCAAGAGCTGCGGCAGCGGAACCAGGGGAACTGGTCGATTTTTTGTTATCTCTACGCAGCAAGTGCTCTATGGATAAGCGACGGTTGGACCTCTTTCCAAGAAACCTGCGTGCCGGTTGCAAAAAAAAAGCGATAAAACGAACTCGATCGAAACATTGATCTTTTTTGGCACCATCTATCTATTTTTTTTTAAGAGACGCATTTTTTGTACTAATGCATGAGTAGATTGTAATGTGCATTTTGGGTGTCACAATATGATACCCTTTCCCATACTCTAATTTCGCCTTCATGGTAGTTGTGCAACAGCTATCTCAAACAAACTGCAACAGTAATAGAAACGAAAGGAATCAGCAAAGTCTTATCGCAGATCCCTGTCCAGATTTAGATGGAACAAGCTCAAATTAGCGATGCAAGTTGATGCATCCGTTATTTTGGTGGTTCCTGCATTCTGGTTCGTGCTTTGGTTCTGGGAGCTGTTCCCAAAACTGGTGCTGACGGTTTGCTTTGGTATCGTTGCTTCTTGATTCGTCACACAAATTCGACATCGTTCTCACTGGTCGGGGATTGGGAGGTTTCATTCATGGTGCCCCGGACATCGCCAAGGCGTTTGCATCGGTTCAAATTGATCAACCGCTCGATCTTTCCCCAGTTGCTCTTATTTATCTCGTACGGGGTGATCCTGGGAGGACAACTACTCGTGGTCCTGACCTGTTGACGGGATTGGTGCCTTTCCCCCTGCAGATTTTGGCTGTTTCTACCCCGCTTCTTCTTGTTCAATCGGTCATGGGCCCGCCACGTCGAAGACGAATCGTGTTGAAGGTTCTTCTTCGATGCATGGACGATCCTTCCGTTTTCAGAAGACGATACCGAGGACAGCGACGAGGTCGATCTTCCGGGTTGGGTGTTTCYWTTTTTTGGGAGTGCGGCTCYGTATTCTTCGTCCATCCACGAGGGATSCTTTCGCTTGTSWCTTTTTGTGAGTTGCTTCTGCTTGCTAGGCTTTTTCACTGCGCCAACCTCTTGTGGAGACTTGGCAGTGAGTTGGTTCTTCTTTTTGTTGACCGTTCCTTCCCCTTTCTGTTTGATGCTCCCGATGAGCTCCGCCGGAGCACCCCGGTAAAACAGCCGAAGTGACGAATCATTCGCATCTTCGGCCTGCATGTGAGAATGATGGTAGTAGACCCTATACTGGCTCCCGTTTCCGTTTAAGCCTCTTTGAGAACACAAAAATCCATATCGATTCATGGTGTTCCAGAACGACACGATTTTTTTCATCCTGCTCGCCTTCGATACCACGTCTTCGAGGAGTCGGTTGTCGTCCCGGAAGAAGATGCCCCCTCCGTCTTCTGTCCAGGATATGATGGATTCCAGACCCAGATCTTGGCGTACTGTAGCCAGCCTCAGGAGCCGGTATAGGTGTGTGGGGAAGGCAGCGTGCTTGCTCAAGATGATGTCATGAAAGAGAGGTGTTTCGTTGAGGGTGGCCTGGGCCTCCATCACGGACGCAATCAGCACTGCGTCGTCGCCGGCATGGCTCAGACGGTTTTTTGGCAGTTTGGGGGTTTCTTTCGCTTGAGTGACCTCATCATCGAGCATCTTTTCGTCCGCAAAGGTCGCCCTTTTATCGTCGACTGAGGAATCACCATTGCCGTGATCGGTTTGCTCGTATTCCGATTCGGTTCTGGTTTCCGAATCATCGTTTATGTTCGATTTGTTCTCATGTTTGCGTTTGATTTTTTTGCTGTATTTATCGCCCGAGGACTTTCCATTCGCCACCGTGGGATCGACTTTCTCCGTGCTCGGGGAGTGGCTTTGGTGGCCGGGTTTGAAGGTATCGAGCATCGGCAGCGACGGTTGCTCGGTTTCGTTTTGGCAATCTCGTTCTTCGATCCTCCAGTCAAAGCCAAGTCTATTGAGGTCCTTGATGCGCGATCGATCGACCCGGGTCATGTCTTTTTGGGGGGAAGCTGGCGTAGGGGTTCGATAGGCTTTGACGTTCGAGAGACTTCCCTCCTGGCCATTGCCGTGGTTTTGGTTTGGGCTCCACCGGTGCTGCAGTCGCTGCTGCTCCGTCTTTTGCCTCCGGAGCTGCTTGCGTGTGTGAGCCCGGAATCGTTCGTATTCCGACCGCAGGTCGCAAACAAATTTCCCCAGGATCGGGTGGTTGGATGGCACCTCGCATGTTTCTTCGATATAACGATAGTCCCGCAGGAAATGGTAGGCTTCCTTCCAGGAGCGCGGGAGTTTCTTCCCGAAATTGGACGGAACCGGTTTSAAATAGTTTTCGCTTTTTTTGTTCCTGTACGGCACTGGGGCCGAAGCAGCTTTCGAGGAAGGAGATGATCCCACTTCCCACTCCCATTGATAGCCCTCATCTATGGTTGTGCGATAGGRTGCGGTTCCTCTCTCGGTGGCGTCATCCTCTGTTCCAATTCCGCAGATGGGGTTGTTGCTACTGGCCGCCCCATTCTTGCGGGYCAGCTGCYGTATCCGCCTCTGCCGGAGCTTGAGCTGTTTTTCTTTCTTTTTCCGTTCCCGCTCCAGCATGATCTCTCGGAATTCTTCCCTCGAAGGCATCTTGAACATGGGGGAAGAAGCCGCCCTTTTCCCGCTTGTGGGGGGCGTGGAGTGCTCGTTGCCATTGTCGCTAAGCTGTTCGTCTACCGGATTTCCTATGGAAGACTTCGGGTTGCTCGCGTCGGAGACGACATCGGCCGGCTGGAATGCTTCGGACGCACTGCTGACATTGCTGCTGTTTCGATTCTTACTGCGATTGTTACCGGTGCTGGTGCTGGTGCTGGTGCTGCCAGTGGTCCCGCCGGTTTTCCCCCTGCTCTTTCGCGTGTAGACCGGCCGCTTGGAAGGAGCCGCGTCGTAATGGCTCACAAGCTGCCTGCGGCGGCGCTCCCCCGAGACGACCGGCCGAACGCTCGAAGCCTGCACGTACCCCTTGTTCCCCGTCGTGGCCCATCGTATCCTCACCTCGAGCTGTTGCGTCCCCCGATCGGTCCGCTGCTTCTTTTGCATGGGTTCCCCAGGGGATGTGCTGTGGTCGTCGTCCGAATCGGGGTAGATGCACACCATCCGGGGATCCCCGACAAAGGTGGCCATGTGATCCGTCTTGCCCTGGGTTACCCAGACGTTGTCGCCCTTGGCGAGATTCCAGAGCGGTTTGGGCAGCACCAGCGGTGGCGGTGGCGATTCTGGCAACGGCTCTGTCTTTATATTGGCGAGGACGACATTCTTCGAATTCGAACTCATTGTCTTGCGCCTCCAAACGAATTGTGATAGCGGCAGAACAAACAGAGAGCTCCCAGATTGCAATGGTCGGGCTTCTGTTTTGCTTCGTTGTCGTCTGCTCTGCTTTGCTCGCTTTATTTTGTTTTGCTCGTGGTCTCTTTGTTGTCGTGTGTTGTCTGGGTTGGAAACAAAGCCACTTTGCTTCGAATATCAGCGCGTGATTCGTTTTTCAATTTCGATCTCCGCTTTCTCGCTGGATTGAAGCACGAACCCCAACGGCTTGCCCGATTGGGGATTCGATCAAGAAGGAGCAATCAGCCAATCAAAGCAAACGCACCCAACGTGGGAGCAGCAGCAGCAACCTCCTTCTGGGGTGCATRTGTAGCACAGTTGCCTTGCGTAATGCGAAACTCGTACCGTACTTGATGGATTGTATCAGTGTCAATATCAGTGTCTGTGTCGATCAGGACATGTGTTATGTGTCAACAAGAAATATTACTACAAGGTAGGAAGGCAAATGTGTGGACCGAATATGTGACATGTTATAATTCTAAAAAAACCGCGCAGTTTTTCTAGTAAAAAAATACACCAGCATGAGGGTTGTCACACCCTCCAGACAGAGCTATTAGGGACACTTCCACTCCACACATGTRCTGGAATAACTTCATTATAATTCGAAGAAGGGGATCYGGAATTCTTAGAATGATCGGCCAAGTGGTTTTTTCTTAAGAGCCCTCAGTATCCCAAAGGTGTGTAGAATCTTACATACAAATTAGTACTACCAAATATTTCGATATGAAAATACTTAATGTTTTTTTTTAAGTGAGACAGGTTCATGTTGCGAAGGCAAATGAGGTGTATTGTTGTTCCCTCCGTAGAGCTGTGTAAAATTTGTACTGACTCCGGACCTGTCACCCACACATTCGCCTTCCTACCTCGTACGAGTACCGCAGTTTGCAGTTTCAACCAAAGTATCGGTTCTCTTCTGTTTCCTTTTGGGGGATTCTTTGGAATCTTCTGCTGGGGTTGGTTCTAACCTTATTTTGTGCATTGCAGCGTCCAGCGTCCCCAAATTGGTTGCGGCCGCCACCATTGTTTTTTTTTTAAGGACGGTGGCGGCCAAAAAAACTTACTACGGTGCAAAAACTAGGTTGTTGCTACTAAAATGACTAATTGTCACAACAATGACTGAATGTTTAAGTTAAAAATGAATAATCTATTTTTGGTCAAGGTACTAATTTATTTGCAAAAAATGGTATACCAGAGTTTGTACAAATCCACACTAAAAACAAGTTTCTTTTTGTTTCCTCGGTAAGTCCACCAGGGCTGTAAGAATTCTTCAAAGTTACTGGCTACCGCGCACTAAAGTTAGTGAAGTGCAGTGTAGTGCACCGTAGCCAATATGGCTGGTCTTCCTCTTGCTTTTGCTAGCAAGTCTTCAGTCACAGCAATAACAGCACCACCTTGATGGTCTCCAGCAAGTGAGCTGGATTCATGGGGTGGCTGCAATGGACTGGAGCAATCCCCTCCTGGTGGAGCATGGCTTCTTGCCAGCATGGTGACTTGTCCTGGGCCTATGACAATTGAATCCTACTGGGGAGCCTGGATTCCAGTCCCTGGAGCAGCTTGCCTTRCAGCTGTACTTCATTGCTGGAAACTCAATTGATTTGCAAATTGACTAGACTGATTCAACAACAGTTGAGACATACTCAAGAGGAATAGATCCAATGCAAGATCCATCCTCGTCTATCTACAGCAGTRCTATTTGTATACACTTTATATTTAGTAGGAATCATAGCTACCAAGAGTAGATGCAATAGAATTGAGCAATACCCCAAGGACCAGCGCGCTGTGCCTTTGAGGAGTGGGCCTGGGCCTATGACAGTTCTAGTAGAATACTGGTGAAGCCCATCTGGAATCTARTTTATCTTTATGGTGTTTCATATCTACTAACTGCACTAGAGGAACTGCTCTGAATTCCACTACCACTACCAAAGCTGCTCATACCATCATCATACCTCWTCATCTTCCTCTGAGCCTCGTGTTCTTCCTCTTTAGCACAAAATTTAGCAAATTTTGAATGGATTGAAGACCCCCATTCAAATTGTGC